TGATGACTATTGATCGTACACAAGTTCCGACAAATAGCTGGTTACAATTTGACACTAAGAACCAAGAGTTTTATGGAATTCCATTGTGGGGTGACAAAAGCTTTTCTGAATATCAACTTGTAAGTTTAATTTTGTACTTTTTCTTTAGTTGATTTAAGAATTAAAATACTATATTTGTTTTTTTGTTTAGATTTGTACAGATAGAGAGGGTAGATCAAATCATGATAGTCTAGTAGTATCTATACATAATACAACTAAGCCTTTGCCATCAGCTGAATTTGATATGATATTCAAAACTCCAGAATTCAAAGAATTCAATAATTCAGCTAAACTAAAAAAAATATTTGTTGAACGTATAGCTAACCTTTTTAGAGATAAAAATACAGCCAACATCGTTGTTCTTGGAGTCAGCTCAGTTAATGGTATGACAATGGTGACATGGTACAATAAAACATTAGAAATTGATCGGTGTGATGAAGAAAAAATTCTACAACTGAGACAAGTATGTAATTTTTACTTAAGAGGACGCTACACCTGTATGTGTTGTCTCTGTTTTACAAGTGCGTAACATAGCAAAATCTGTTTAGCGTGGGACAACTGTTTTCCCTCAATATTTATAATCGAATTTTCAAAATTTCACAACGCATAGGTAATAACTTTATCTGTGTCATAGCGTCGTTATTTTTTTGATAGCACWAACCAATAATTTTAAGTAATTTAATGAAAAAATAAATGTATTTTCTTAAGCTTATAACTTAATTATATTTATGTTATCAAAAAAGTAACGACGCTATGACACAAATAAAGTTCTTACCTATGCGTTGTGAAATTTTGAAAATTCTATTATAAATATTGAGGGAGAACAGTTGTCCTGCGCTAAACAGATTTTGCTATGTTATACGTTTGTAAGATGGAGACAACACATACGTGTGTGGTGTCCTCTTAACTACTGTAATAAATCCTTAAAACCTGTTATAATTTAAAATAACAACTCAAGAAATTTAATACTGTAATTAATAATTAAAGACATTTTGTTGACATATATATTACTATTGCTAAATGTCCTGTAAGTTATAAGTATACCTAAAAATAGTATGTCCAATGGGCCAATTTGATAATTATGCTGGTCTATTTGTTTTCATAATGCCGACACACTATTTATGTGGGCTAGTTGTGATGACCCCTGTTTTAGGTTGTTTATTAATAATTGTAATGTGCTAAATTTCTGTATAATGTTGTTATATATAGTTATCACAACACTTAAATTACTACCGACTAATCATATCTTTAACATAGCTAAAAATTATGACTATTTTAATTTAATGTGTTAATCATGATATTTAAAATAATTTAATTTAATCTATTTTTACATTTAGGTCTTATTGAATGAAGATGAAAAGTTATCTGAAAATGTAACAAAATATATGAAACCATCATTTAATGTAGTTGGAGCACATGTTTTGCCTTCTGGTATGTGTGAAGGTGGATTTACTGAAGTTCGACCACCAAAAACAACCAACAATGTTACACCTCGTGATGACAATATTTTGCTTTTATTCGACAAATCAGAACAATATTTTTCGACATTTATTATTCCAGCAATCATAATTTTAGCAATGATGCTTTTTGCTGGATTATTAGCTTGTTTATTGTATCGCCGACGACCATCATCAAAGTTAAGAATTGGTGATGATGAAAGACAAAGCTTCCGAAGTCGTGGTATTCCGGTTATTTTCCAAGTAAGAATTACCCTACATAATTATGTATAATAATGTGTGTGAAACTATAAATAAATTTGTTCTTTATTAACAAAAATGTACTTTTATCATTTTTAAGTAAAATCCCAGTAAACAAATAAATAGTATTAATCCGGGTCTGCTTATACAAATAATTTGCTTTTCATTCAGCTTATTTGATAGTAGATGAAGTTATTTTTCTAAAATTRAAAATTTTATATTTTTTGTGATTTAATATAAAAAACCAGATAGAAAGTTAACATATTCTGTGATATTTGACAAACTTATTTTGTACAATAGGATGAATTAGATGAAAGACTTGAGCCTACAAATAAAACTCCAATAATCATGAGAGAAGAAAAGCCGCCTTTACCACCACCCGAATATCAAAGATCAACGCCAATGGCCACCACAGCTTTACTAGCCGATACAGAAGATTCACCATATCAACCTCCACCACCACCCTTCTCTAATGTTGGCTCCAATCATAGGTCAAAACCGTCATCAACTCCGTCATATCGCAAACCCCCACCTTACGTTCCTCCTTAACAAGTCTGATTCTAAATTAGTTTTTAAATTGGTCTTTTACATCAATTTGACTGATTCCTTTTAGTCATTAAATAAAACTTTTACAACAAGTTATTAACAAACAAAAATAGTGTTCGCAATAATATTGTCATTATTTATTTTTTATTTTTTTTACAATCTATTATTTTTAATGTCTTTAGCAATAACAATTATTATTATTTTATCAGTATATTTTTTCTATAATCGTGAATACTTTGTTAAACAACTTTTTTCAGGCGTTAGACTTTAGTGTACTACAATATTATGTGAAGTAACTAATAAGCATTTATTATTTTACCTTTCACGATTTCTCCAAACCCTCGCTTATTGTTCTATGTGTTGATGTAAGTTTGTGTAGTAATTATTCAAAAATAATTAAAATTAGACAACTTAATATACTACACAGTTAATGTATTATTTTTTTTTGCATATTTGCAACATTTTTTATAATCAATTTTTTTTATCCAATTTATTATTATTATTAATATTATTACTATTAAGATAAATTACATAATTATTCTGTTTTAATTTAATAAGAAGAATTGTAATAAAAGTTAAATCAAAACAATTTTGTTTAGTATTGAAATTTATTTTCACTAAAACATGACCAAAATAATACTTAGTAGTATTAGTAATACTCATTGGGATAGACTTACTTTTTTTTTGTTATATATTATAAATAATATAATATTGAAGAAAAATTATTTTTACTTAAGGGCTTCTAAGTAATTTTTAAGTTAGTGGCTTTGGTGAGTGTAAATGTGTATTTTTGTTCTTATAACAATAATTGTGGCAGAGGTCACAGAATTTTATGCCATCGAGTATGTTTAGTTAACTGAAAATTATTATTTATTTTTTTTTTTTTTCATCTTTTAGAGAATATTGTAATGGATAATATTAGTAATCATTATTAAATTGTGTTGTAAATTAAAAGTATTATCAATGGTGATAAAAATATATAAGAAAATTTCTTTTACATGTTCTTTTGATTAATTTATAATAACATTTACAGTTGTGACTCATGTTTGTATTTTAGCGCCCTACCTTTCCTGACTGTCCCAAAAGTTCTGAAAAAAAAACTGATGACTACAAACGCCATGACTATAGTCCATAGTATATAACTTTGTTGTTTAAATTATTTATTACTATTTACTATCATAAAACTACAAAGGTGCGATTTGGGTTAAATTTATGAGGGTGCTAGATTTATATCAACCAAGGTGGCCTGTGAAAGGGCCTAATAATAAATTATATATATCAATTTTATAATATTAATAAAGAAAAAATATATAATAAAAAAGTAATATATCAAAAAAATATTATTTAATATTAATGAAGTATAAAATAAATTTAAGAAGTACCTACCTCATTTTAGACTGTTAAGAGAATTTGTCTCTTTACTGTGACATCAATAGGCAATACCTTGTTTCCCCAAAAAAATTTTGTCAATAAGCATTGATATGTAGGTACGATTTTTGGCTGTGTAACAAATACTATGGTAAATAATGAACTTGTTTATTATAGCAGCTACATTTATAACAATCCGTTGATTTGTATATTTAATTGCATGGTATATAGGCAAAATATACCATTTTGAAGAAAAGTATACTTTTTAATATAATTTAGCCAAATCACTGCATAATACATACATATATTTTATAACTTAAAACTCTGTTTCCCATAACTATCCTTTCACATTAACAATGAAACAAAATTGTCATGTGAACTAAGGATAAAGGTATTTAAGGACTTAAGGTAGTATAGATATTTATTATTTATGCATGGGTGCTAAATTTAATTTATCCATAATGTATTAATGTGAAAATTATTTTAAAAAYATTGAATATTAGAAATACTTATTAAGTAAGTACTTGGTTTGTTACAAGAGAACATTGCAGAAATTTAGAGTTTTTTATTTTAAAATACCGGCAATATTGCATTAAGTAGATACYAGGACACAAAAGTTATTGAATTGTTTTGTTAGTCTATTTTCATGCTCTAAGGTGTGTACCTTTATTAAAATAAAAATGTAATTATGAATTTTCTATAATAATTTTTTTTTTTTTTGTTATTTACTGATATTTATGAATTATGAATAGCACATTCATTTCATTTGTATAAAATATAATCTAAATTCATGGAACCTATACTYTGTTCCAAAAGAGAAAATCTTAGCACGTTGAATGGAGGATGCTCACCACCTCGTGTCTTCTCTTTTGTAATAAAGTATATAATATCTACAGATCCCAGTTATGAYTACTATTAAGATCATAAATAAAATAAGGAACTTAAATATTTTCTTAAAATTGGTTAGGTATTAGGAATAATTTTACAAATTTGGTCTAAGACTCAAATAGTGGAGGACAAGGGTGTTGTGGGTCACCAGATATATTTCAGCTGAAAAATATATTTTAAAAAGCAAGGAATTAAAAAATAGGTCTGCAATGAWATGTTTTAATGTGTAACAGATGTCAAATGATGTTCATATGATTACAATTAGTAGTCGACTTATGGCTCATATTTTTAAATACTTTCACAATAATGCTGTCATGATATTATTTAATAATTAATGTAGTTAAGTAACAGCARGTATCTGTCTAAACATTACAAAAATATACAATAATTATTCATAAAATACATTTACAAAAATAAGTAACATTAATAATTAGTAATTAATAGTTAATCTATAATCCTGAATATACATATATTACGATGAAGACTTTTTGTGTTTATATTTTTTATGTTTATTGTGATTAGATTTATGTTTTCTATGTGGTGATCTGGAATGTTTGCTTTTTTTTGTTTTATGGTGTCTAGATTGACGATCATCGTAAATGTCTTCTTTAACTATTTTTTCACGATGATTAGATTGATCATCACTGTCATTCGATTTAGTTTTACCTTCATGATATTCTTTATACTGTTTTATATTAATTACATTACAATTTTTATCAAATTCACTTTTTGTRACCAGATTGAATAAATTTTCGCTAACATTCTCTAATTCTCCAGTGCGTGAAACTTTCACAATCACTCTTGAGGATAATTCATCAAAACCACAAACTTGTCCATACTGGCCATTCAGTTTTCCAATAGTAAATTGTACAAAAGATCCTCTTTTGAGTTTTAGTTCTCCTTCAGAACTTAGTGTTTTTGGTACAGATTTAACTAATTTATCAGCGCCCAAACCCATTCCTTTAGACCTGATCTCTGGCAGACTAGTAGAAGTTATTTGAGAATTATTACCAACACCTTTAGTAGGTTTCCAACCCATACCTCGAAGCATAGCTAATCCAAATTTATCAATCGGTATAGTTTCATAGTCTTCGGCCGTAGACATCTCCATCCCTTCCTGAGGATCGATTATCAATGGTACTTCAACTATTCTTGTATCTTCTTCTTCTTCTTCTTCATCTCCTTTTTTTTTTTTACAACCCTTTAATATTGCCTGTACAGCCATTTCTTCCAATGTTGACGCTCCGTTTTCTTGTGGTTTGTTTGATATTGAGCTTACAAATTCTTTTGCTGGTAGCCTCTGTTTAACTGATTTTGGCATATGAATAACTAATTCATGATCAACCTTTTCTACTGCTCCAGCCACTTTAATCGATTTCTCTTCGACGCATTCAATAAACTGAATTGCTTTCTCTGTTTTTGGAAATACAGGAATTACCTTAGGTTTAGATATTTGTTTAAACGAAAAAGATATTTTTTTGGTATCTTCTTCTTCCATCATAACTAATTATTAATATTCAGTACGTTAACGGTCAACGATCAACGACCAAGCGAGCAACAATTCGAATACTGGATTTGTTTAAACGTAAGTTGAGGTTGACGAAATTACGTAGAGTCGTAGACAACTACTAACCAACGTCTGACGAACTTAAACGTTAACTATAAACACTAAACAAAATATAATAGTGATAAGTGATAGCACAGAACCAGTCGGCAGTATAGATATTAGATTAGATTACATTTTTATTTTTATTAGCACAGAACAATTTTATAAGGTATATGAAAATTTAAATATAATAAAAATAATAATTATTATTAATTTAATTGTTTTTTGATGAATAGAACAATATTAGTTTTATCTGAAAAAAACGTTATTCAATCATTAATGTTATATTAAAAATATTATCACTAGATACTTCATAGCCTCAAGCCTKAATCCCCCAATGTGGAAAACAAAATTGTAGTAACTCAAAAACGAATATCCACATGACCATAGATACTTGAAAACTTTCCCAAAATGTAATTAGGTATGACCATTTTCATACTTGATAATATATTAAAATTTACAAGTTTTTTTTTGTGTGTATGTTTAAGCCCAACGACCTATGTTACTGAGAGTCAAAATAAAAATAAAAATGAATAGGTATTCAAAATATTTTGATTCTTTTTATCGATAATTAATTTTAAAGTTGGTCAAAAAACTTGAAAATTTAACCTTGAATAGGTACAAGACTTCATAATAATTAAATTAGAGAGTGTAAAGAAAAAGGTTGAGCGTAAATCCATATTTTTTCTGAGCATGTAAAGTTAGTATTAAAAAATAAATTCGTCAACATTACGAACATTTGCAAATCATTTTTGAGTTGAAAATACTTTAAAAAGTTATTTTTGTATTTAAGATATTTTTAAAATAACAAAATTCCTTATAATTGTTTTACCTATACCAAGATAAAAAAGTTAAACGAAGTCAAATAAATTTTTATGAGCGTTTCAGGTTCAAATATCTACGATATTAGATATTCAACGGTAAATTAAGTAGCAACTATGGACATAGGAAATTATTGTCGAATTGTCATTAAATGATTTCCTATTATTTTATTATAATTCAAGAACGTCAATAATCATTAACTTCTCAAAATGTTTATTTTATCACTTTTAATACTTCTTGAWAACAATTTCAAATTGTTTTGATCATTTTTGAGTTATTTATGAAYATTTCTTCCTTAAATAATATCAATAAATAATTTCGATTGGTCAACATTTTTGAAAATTGAAGATAGCAAGTTCCTCATAAATAAGTTGTTATAAAAGTCAATAGATGAATATCAGTTCATATCCTAGATTCAAAATCTAAAATATTGCTCGAATAAATACCATTTAAAATTAGAGCTGTATGTAGTAATACAAAAAGGTAAGTTTAAAAAATTATCGACAATAACAATATCTTCAAAAACATTAGTTATACGTTTCAATAAATGAAAGTCCAACGTTWAATGAATAATCTGGTATAGTATCGATAAGTGTAAATGTTAATTTTAGAGAATAGGGATAAGCGTCGACGTACATATTACTCGTGTAAAATCACATAGGAAATCACGAAATCATACATAAAAATACATAGAAATTTAGCGACAAAAACGAGCAGAATTTCATGAATTGGTTTTTAAAAAAGTGATGGTGAGTAGTTAAGCATCTTAATAACACCTCCCCCCCATCTGCAATATCAGTATATTGCAGCATTAATTATTAAAATATAGGTATAGGTACAATTTATAACAAAAAATACAATTACATAATACATTTAACATGAATATCCTCTATTAGAAAAAAAAAACAATTACTCAAAATAAAAATATCCGAAATATTTGATTGAAAAATTTACAAAATGTGTACAACAAATTGAAGCATGTAGGTACTTAAAAAATTTTACGGCGGGATTTTGTACAAGCAAATTCATTAATTATATCTTCATAATCAATTTGTCTGCAGATTTCATTTTCGATGTTAAGAATAAGAATAGCAAAACTGTTTAAATGATCCTCTGTTAGTCTCTATCGCAAGTAATTTTTAATTCTTTTTAGTGTCGAGAAGGACCTTACAGCAGAACAGTTTAAGGCTGGAAGGCATAAAAAAATTCTTGAAACTATGTCTATGTAAGGAAATAGATCACTTATATTCTTTTCCTTTATTCCTTTAATAACATAATCATTTCCAATACTGTACGGGGAATTTGTTCTATACTTAAAAGATAGTTACGGAAATGTTGACATTCATTAGAAAAACTTTCACCTAAATCATTATTATATATTTTACAAAGTTCGTTTGCACTCAAATCCAATATTCAGAGGATGAAAGAGTTGTAAACTTCAGTAAAAATGAGAATTTTTCCTTTATATTTTCATAAAACTTTTACCTTTTTTCCAATTCGGCATCAAGTTTATCYAAAATTGCGAAGTGTTCACTTTTAATGATTCGCGACTATCAACGATGACACATTTTGTACACAACACTAATAATAATAATTTAATTTTAAACGAGACGTGTATAATTTTCTAATTATAAATTATTATCATAATGATAGGCGGTCGATGATTGTCGCTAAACTGAACTCGAAGAAAAAATTTCAATGTTTTGTTAAAAATAGATAAACAAGAGTCACGAATCAAAAATATTTCTGCCTCTATATCTATTTTTGCCTMTGTARTACCTATAGCTTTATTATAAATTGTTTTTATACAGCTATAATTTTATTTTACATTTATTTTGTATACATATTAAGTATAAAAATAATTTCATATAAAAATAATTTCATATANCTACAGCGGAGCGATCGTTCTCCACTCTCAGGCGCCTTAAGACGTGGCTTCGTTCAAACATGGGAGAGGAACGCCTCACTGGTCTCGCTTTACTCAATATTCACAAGAATATAGCAGTAAATGTTGATGACATTATAACCAGATTTGGAAAAACAAAACAAAGAAGACTAAACTTTGTCATTTAATTAATTAAAACAACAATTATCAATAAAGTTCTTATTTTATTATGTCTTAACTGTGTATTAAGTTTTTGTCTTTTCGTAAATATGACCCCCCCTCAATTTTAGTTCTAGATCCGCGCCTGGATTGTCGCTAAACTGAACTCGAAGAAAAAATTTCAATGTTTTGTTAAAAATAGATAAACAAGAGTCACGAATCAAAAATATTTCTGCCTCTATATCTATTTTTGCCTMTGTARTACCTATAGCTTTATTATAAATTGTTTTTATACAGCTATAATTTTATTTTACATTTATTTTGTATACATATTAAGTATAAAAATAATTTCATATAAAAATAATTTCATATAAAAATAAAAGCGATCTATGTGTAATATGTATTAAATATTATATGGTATATAAAAAAATAGAAATAAAATCAAATTAATTTTTTTTAAATCACTAAATAACACAACATTTTGGCGCCCAGGGCTACAGCCCTGGTTAGTCCTAATATAAATACGTCCCTGCATTTACTTACCACAATCCATTCCTGGTATCTGCAGAGACCGCTTTTAAATATTCTTTAATCGGCCTTARCGTCAAAGGTATAATCGTTAATAMGTACAAAAAAATAATAATACTAAATACTAAAATATACATTTAGAATTAAAACTTGTAACTGTATGGTATACATAMATTTTTTTTTTATTCATAACCAAGTAACAACAGCATATTTTTAYACTTATCAACTTAATATTAACGTTTTATTATTTTTAAAAATGATTACAAGAACGTCGAGTTATTATAATAAAGTAACACCTGCAAAGGGTAATGGAAAAATTTTATTATAAACAAAACATAAAATCAAAAGAAAGTTTTACACATGTATACATGTCACGATATTGTTTGTTTGTTACACTAACGTTTTTAACCGCAAACAGTTACTACAACTACAGATTATGTAAAATATATAATTTATATAATCTATGCTATAACTAATATACCTATCTACTATAATTTTGAATATTATATTAATGTTCTGCTGTATCTTTTTTCTAAATTCTAAAGAACAAATGGTAGTGATAAATACAGCTTATAAGCTATAATTTATACATACAATTTACTATAATATGTAATGAAATAAATAATAATTAACTTGTTCATCAACTATAGTGTTTCATCAATGTATATATTGTAATCATTTCCATTTCTTATTCAGAAGTTCACGTTGAAAGTTCTCGGCGGCTGCTCTACCAAAATTACTAGGATTGTAAACGTTCAAATAATATTTTGTTGTGAACGTTGTTGGAACAGTTTTAGTTAGTACAAATATATCGTAAACATCCTTGATTTTAGCAAATTTCTTTTCTCTAACATTCAAAATCATAACCGAAGTTTTTGCAGTCATTTTAATACTAACCGAACCATATAGTCCTCGAAACGCCAACGACGACGGTACGCCGTTTTTCATCAAAAATTTAGGTGCAATTTTTAGGACAATTTTTTTAGCAATCTCCTTGGTCGGTATCGATAACGTTTTACCAAAAATGCCTCGTTTAAATCTAGCCCCAACGTCGTAACTGGTTGRCGTCGTAGTGTCTGCGGGAKGTTCGTTTCGTTCGTCAGGTTTGATAAAGTCATAATCGTCCAAGTTGCAATCGTTATTACAATCATGATCATTAAGTTTCGACAAGTTATAAAATAATTCATCGTTATTTATGACAATTGTCCCGAAAGGTTCTATTTGCACATCGATACCTTTTAAATGTGAGTACAAATCCAAACGATCTTCAATCCACATTGTGCAGATGACTTGTACGGGCGATGTCGCAAGATCGGCGACTAATGGTAACGCGAGAGACACGATTTCAATCGATTTACAAGTATTCATCATTATTACATCTTCGGTATCTAGAGTATCGGAAATAAAGGCGTGCGGATAGCATTCGATGAGTAGGCTAATGACAATACCAGTAACAATATCGCTACAACCTATATCAGATAACAATTTTGGTACTTTGGAAAATTCATTGCTGACCGAGTCGATGCCAGTGTTCACGGTATTTGGTACTTTGGAAAACTCATTACCGATTGCGTTAATTCCAGTGTTCACGGTATTTGGTACTTTGGAAAACTCATTACCGATTGCGTTAATNTGGAAAACTCATTAC